ACATACCGATGTTACACTTTAAAAAAATCTTTTTTGTTGTTACACTTTGAAAAAATTCGACTTTGTTGTTTCATTTCAATAAATTTTTTATTTTTGTTTCACTTATATGTGTTGTGCATAGAAGTTGCGTTTTCATTCTCGGACATTCATATAATATATATGTCACTCTAGTTCTCTTTCTCCGGTTTTTTTTTCTTCTGTCGTGTACTCGTGGTGCTATGGCTTTCTTTTGCTATGTATGTTACATCATCAGGATCTTTGACAATTATGGAATCCATGGTGAAAAAGACCCAAATCAAATCGGATTTAAGGGTTAGCAATTTTATTTTAAAATATTTCAATGTTTTTTCTCTCTTTCTGCTTATTCGCTCTCTCTCTCTCTCTCTCTCTCTCCCTCTCCTTCTCTCTCCCTCTCTCTCTCTCTCTCTCTCTCTCTATCACCCTCACTCATGTCACTCTACCATTTTGCGTTGTCGTTATTATTTTCAGGGTGGGTGCGGGAATGCTTTTATCAGTGTTTGCTGTTTCATAATTTAATGTCGGAAAGAAAAAGGACACGTTTTGCCATTCGTAAATCATTCGATGGATTGCGATTCCACAAGAAAATCTCCGATGAGACCAAACAATACACACACACATAGACGGTTAAGAGAGCGCGCTCACGCGCACACATTTTCATGTCTTATCGATGACACGTACATTCGGGATCCCCATTCAGCTCTCTCTCTCTCTCTCTCTCTCTCTCTCTCTCTCTCTCTCTCTCTATCTTTTTAGCCACAACTTTCAACCGGACCCAATAAAATTGCATCCATTCACACACAAATAATATAATAAATTGCCAATTCTAATTCGTGTTTGCTGTTTTATCAGAAACAAATGACGATTTGCGTACCCAATTTTCACCAAACCATACCTCCTCCCTCTGCTCAATCGTCCCATATATAAGATTCTGTTTACTATCGCTCTTACTTAAACTCATAAAAAATCATAAAAAAATCCCCATTTTTTATTGTGGTCAAGGAAATATGGTGTTATGTGCAATGCAATTAATTTTACGGAGCTTTTCCACAATCCGTTGTTTTTCTCTTCGCCTCTTTTTTTCTCTTTTACTCTCTCGCTCTCTCTCTTTCGCTCCCTCCCGGCGAGAGTGCACAAAATATCCAAACAAAATAAATGATCTATGAGGGTCGAAACGCTTTAAATGTTACACAACCGACTACCTGTAAAGACTCCATCTAAACTCCCGAAAACTATTGGACTACAAAAATTTATACAT